TTTAGTAGAGACGGGGTTTCACCATGTTGACCAGGATGGTCTCGATCTCTTGACCTCGTGATCCACCCGCCTCGGCCTCCCAAAGTGCTGGGATTACAGGCGTGAGCCACCGTCAGATAAGTTTTTTATTGTAAGCTCTAGGGGATTTCAATATGTGTTTTGGAGCCTAGATTAAGTACTTTTGATTAATATACTGCTTCTTCATTTATTTATCTTTGTTTTTCTTTTTTTTTTAATTTTTAGCCCCGCCCCTCCAATATACTGCTTCTTTAGTCTGCTAATTGAGTAAGCACTTATCAGTTTTTCAGAAATTTTGTTGTATGACTAATAAATATCACTTAAATGAGATTTGGTTAAGAACCATCCCCAGTTAGGCAATTTTGTATTTTGTTCAACACATTTTAAAGCATGTTTGTGATAATGCATTGAAATTAAAATTATATTTTATATTTCAGTTTACTGTCAGCAGACTTTGTGTACTTCAGAGTTGTTTGAAGACTTAACTTGGTTCTTATCTAATGATTCAAACATAAATTTGAAAAGAATGTCTGTTTACGTTATTTTGGTTCTGGTTTCAAATAACAGTAAGTACATTCTCATGAATGTTTGAAAACATTTTAATCAATTGGAACAGTCATTATTAATTTTTTATTTTAGATCTTATATCAGTATCTTTTTTTGGGGGGGATGGAGTCTCGCTCTGGCACCCAGGCTGGAATGCAGTGGCATGATCTCGGCTTACTGCAACCTCTGCCTCCTGGTTCAAGCAATTCTCCTGCCTCAGCCTACTGAGTAGCTGGGATTACAGGCACGTGCTACTGTGCCTGGCTAATTTTTGGATTCTTAGTATAGATTGGGATTTCACCATGTTGGCCAGGCTGGTCTCAAACTCCTGGTGTCAAGTGACCCACCCACCTCGGCCTCCCAAAGTGCTGGGATTACAGGCATGAGCCACCATGCCCCACCTAGTACCTTTTTAAAATCTCTCCTCTGAGAAATACTTGTTTAAAGAAAAGGGGGCAGTGGCTCATGCCTGTAATCTCAGCACTTTGGGAGGCCGAGGTGGGTGGATCAGTAAGGTCAGGAGATCATGACCATCCTGGCCAACATGGTGAAACCCTGTCTCTACTAAAATACAAAAAGTTAGCCAGGTGTGGTGGCATGCACTTATAATCCCAGCTACTTGGGAGGCTGAAGCAGGGAATCGCTTGAACCCGAGAGGCAGAGGTTACAGGAAGCCAAGATCGCACTACTGCACTCCAGCCTGGCGACAGAGCAAGACTCTGTCTCAAAAAAAAAAAAAAAAAGGAGAGGCCGGGCGCGGTGGCTCACGCCTGTAATCCCAGCACTTTAGGAGGCCGAGGCGGGTGGATCACGAGGTCAAGAGATCGAGACCATCCTGGTCAACACGGTGAAACCCCGTCTCTACTAAAACTACAAAAAATTAGCTGGGCATGGTGGCGCGTGCCTGTAATCTCAGCTACTCAGGAGGCTGAGGCAGGAGAATTGCCTGAACCCAGGAGGCGGAGGTTGCGGTGAGCCGAGATCGTGCCATTGCACTCCAGCCTGGGTAACAAGAGCGAAACTCTGTCTCAAAAAAAAAAAAAAAGGGAAGAAAGAAAAGGGAGTCAATAGCATATATTTAATCATTCAATACAAATTTTAAGAAATTATGAAGTAATTATAGTGCTTATCATTGAAAGGTAACAGGTTTAAAGAGAAAAAGGGAGGCATTTAATGAATTAGTTGATTTTCTGCTGAATTGACCATTTAGTTACAGTGTTTACAGTATAAGCCACCAATGGTTTTTATTTTGGAATAATTTTAGATTTACAGAAAAGTTGCAAAGATAATATAGAATGTTCCTGTATACTTACTGCTCAGTTATTTTTTAACTTTTTAAAATTTTAATTCTTCAAATTGTTAGAAATTTTGTAAGCATTTAAAATGTTTCTAGACCACATGTGGTGGCTCATCCCTATAATCCCAGCATTTTGGGAGGCTGAGGTGGGAGGATCCCTTAAGCCCAGGAGTTTGAAACCAGCCTAGGTAACATAGTGAGACTTTGTCTCTCTACAAAGAAATAAAAAATAGAAAAATTAACTGGGTGTGGTGATGCACACCTGTACTAACAGCTACTAGGGAGGCTGAGGTGGGAGGATCAAGTGAGCCCTGGAGGTCGAAGCTACAGTAAGCTGTGATTGAGCCACTGCATTCTAGCCTGAGTGACAGAGCAAGACCTCATCTCAAAAAAGAGAAATGCTTCTAGGTAGGCGAGGTGGGTCACGTCTGTAACCCCAGCACTTGGGGAGGCCGAGGCTGTGTGACCCATTCCCCATGTCGCCTAGGTCCCCGCACAAAGATCATATTCAGTACCAGCAGACTCTCTAATGCCACCCTTCCAGCTAGAGGGGAAATGGCATGGGCATCAATAGAGGGGGAAGTCTGGGTGGTCATAGGGCTCAAGGCCCAAACCCCCAGGGTGTTGGGCAGGGGCTGGGCAGCCTCGGGGAAGCTAGGCATCAGATTGTACCCTTTGAGGGGGAGGAGTCAAGCCTCACCACCTTCTGCTACCAGTGGCTGGTTCCTCACCCTTCTAGGTCTGCTATTCTCATTTCCATGGAAAGGGTCCAGACCCAGGTATAATGGTAGTCTGAGCAGCTCAGGCAGTTCGGCTAAGCTTCTTGGCAGAGAGGCCTAAGGAGGTTCCTTCTTGCCAGGCGTGTACTTAAAAAAAAAATGTGTTTAGATTTTGTTTGTTTTATTTTGGAAAAACTAGAAAAGGTTGAATTTATTTATTTTTCATTTTGGAACTTACCTTGAGACTGTAACACAGAACCATGATGCAGAGTAAGAGTTTTGTAATTTTTAGAGGAAAATTTGAATGCAATTAGTTTATAAGCATTAGTGATAATATTTTTTATAATAATCTTGATTACAAATTTTTTTCCACTGTAATTCTGTGTTATATTTTAAAGTTGTAATATTTTAAAGTTGTTTAAAAGTTATTTATTAAAAACTTCACTGTTCTTTATTTCTATAAGACTATTTGTAAATAAAACTCATATTTGTATGGCTTTTTTTTTAAGGGACTGGACAAACACTTGTGAGAGAAACAGGTTGTATTACAGTTCTGTCACGGTTATTCAGGTAAACAAATACAAATTTCTTTTTGTTAATTATTCATTACTTAGGACCTTAACACATTTGTATTAATTTCTTTTCTTTTCTTTTTAACCTAATAGGACAGTTCTTTCAAAACATGAGTTGGATTTGTCAGATAAAAATGTTTTCCAGAGTTATCAGTTATGGTCTTCAGTATGTAGTACTCTGTGTGTCTGTGTCAACAATCCTCAAAATGGTAATTATCTGTAATGTTTAAATATAAAAATAAGATAAAAACAAATGAAAACTGATATTTTCCAATTGTCATATTAAAACACGATTGACTTTGTCTTCTTTCAGATGACAATCAAATGTTTTGCTGTTCACTTTTTCCACATGCTAATGAGTGGCTAAAAAATTGCATGAAACCTGAGATAATTCGCCCTATTTGCTCATTTATTGCACTCACTCTTGCAAATAACAGTAAGTATTCATTATTTTCTAGGTCATGGTTGAAGAAACATAATTCAAAGCATAATAAAAACTATTGAATTCATTATTGAATCAATTGAATTCTTGTAATTTAGGTTTTTTTAAAATGTATTTAGACTCTTAAAGATAAGAAAATCTTGCCGGGCGTGGTGGCTCAAGCCTGTAATCCCAGCACTTTGGGAGGCCGAGGTGGGTGGATCACAAGGTCAAGAGATGGAGACCATTCTGGTCAACATGGTGAAACCCCGTCTCTACTAAAAATACAAAAAATTAGCTGGGTATGGTGGCACGTGCCTGTAATCCCAGCTACTCAGGAGGCTGAGGCAGGAGAATTGCCTGAACCCAGGAGGCGGAGGTTGCGATGAGCCGAGATCGCGCCATTGCACTCCAGCCTGGGTAATGAGCGAAACTCCGTCTAAAAAAAAAAGATAAGAAAATCTTAAAAGTAGATATTTTTAGGAGGATATTGGGAAAATGGTGGTAGCAGCATCGGTTTTTAATCTCCCCAGATACCTTAATAAAACAGAGAAACCAGATAGCAAGACTAAAAATCCATAAAGTGTGTTCTCTGATCACAAGGTAATTAAATTAGAAATGAATAAAAACAAAACACCTAGAAAAGCCCCAGATATCTGGTAATTAAACAACTTGGTACCAAAATTCCTGAGTCAATGCATGAATCATAAAGAAAATTAGAAAATGTTTCTAACTGAATGATAATGAAAATACAGCATTAGGCCAGGCACAGTGGCTCACGCCTGTAATCCTAGCATTTTGGTAATCTGAAGTGGATGGATCCCTTGAGGTCAGGAGTTCAAGACCAACCTGGCCAACATGACAATAAAACAATTGTATTAGCTTCTACCTAAGAAATTAGCAAACCAAGCAAGTTAAATAAGCATAACAAAGGAAATAATGAAGAGAAGATTAGAAATCAGTGAAATAGGGAAAAGCACAGAATAGAGAAAAATAATTGAAACATGAGCTAATTCTTTGAAAAGATCAATAAAAGTGATCCTCTAGCCAGACTGATCACAAAGTAATAAGAGAAAGCTCAGATTACTAATACCAGGAATGAAAAGTGACATCACTATAGATCTTAATAGATATTAAAAGAATAATAAAAGAATAGTAGAAACAGCTTTATGTCATGACATTTAATAGCCTAGATGAGGCTGGGTGCAGTGGCTCACCCCTGTAATCCCAGCACATTGGGAGGCTGAGGCAGGCAGATCACGAGGTCAAGAGATCGAGACCATCCTGGCCAAAAATGGTGAAACCCGGTCTCGACTAAAAATACAAAAAAAATTAGATGGGTGTGGTGGTGCATGCCTGCAGTCTCAGCTACTTGGGAGGCTGAGGCAGAAGAATCGCTCAAACCTGGAAGGTGGAGGTTACAGTGAGCCGAGATCACACCACTGCACTCCAGCCTGGGCAACAAAGTGAGACTTAGTCTCAAAAAACAAACAAACAAACAAACAAAAAAAACACCTAGATGAGCTGGAGAAATTCTTTGAAAGATACAAACTACCAGACAAAACTCACTCAAGAAGAAATAGGTAACCTGAATATTCCTATATCTGTTTCTGTTAAAGAAGTCAAATTTGTAGTTTAAAACCTTATCACAAAAGCTGGGCATGGTGGCGCATGTCTCTAGTCCCAGCTGTCGGGAGACTGAGGTGGGCAGATCACTTGAGCCCAGAAGTTCAAGGGTATAGTGTACGATGATCATACCTGAGAATAGCCACTGCAGTCTGGGCAACATAACAAAAACCTACCTCTTAAAAACAAACAAACAACAACAAAAACCTTAAAGCAAAGCCTTAGCATAGAAAATTCCAGGCCTTAATGGTTTCATTGGCAAATTATGCCAAACATTTCAGGAAACAAACAATTTCACATAAATTATTCCAGGAAATAGAAGTGGGAGAAGCACTTCCCAACATACAAGGCCAGCATTACCCCCAATATCAGAACCCAGAAACAACATTACGAGAAACTAGGGTAATAGCTCTATGAGTATAGAGATGTAAAAATCCTTAACATAATATTAAATCTAATTTAGCAATATATAGAAAAGATAATACATTATGACCAAGTGGCATGTATCCCAGGAATGCAAGATTGGCTTAACATTTGAAAATTCATCATATTTACAGTCTAAAAAAGAACAACGTGATAATTTCAATAGATACAGGAAAAGCATTTGACATAATTCAACATACATTTGTAAACTCATGGTAAAATAGGAACAGAAGGAAACTTCCTTAATGTGATAAAGGGCCTGTACAAAGTACTACAGGTAACATAATTAATGGTGAAAGACTTAATGTTTTCCCCTTGAGACTGGAAAAAAGACAAAAGGCTAGGTGTAGTGACTCATACCTATAATCCCAGCACTTTGGGAGGCCAAAGCAGGAGGATCACTTGAGTCTAGGAGTTCAAGACCAGCCTGGGCAACATAGAAAGACCCTGTCTCTACAAAAAATTGAAAAACTAGCCAGGTGTGATGGTTCACACCTGTAGTCCCAGCTACTTGGGAGGCTGTGGTAGGAGGATTGCTTGAGCCTGGAAGGTCAAGGCTGCAGTGAGCTATGATTGTGTTATTGCACTCCAGCCTGGGCAACAGAGAGAGATCCTGTCTCCTTTCTCTCTCTCTCTCTCTCACTCACTGTGACACACACACACACACACACCCTATAA